CAAATCTTAAAAAATACCTTGTTTATCTGCGTAAAAAAAACCTAAAAACGCATAACTTAAGCTGCTGTATATAAGAAAATCAATTTGTAAATGACATAAGCTAAACATATTTACATAATATGTATATAACATTAAATTTAATAACTCGTAATTACTTGTAATTTCATTTTATAAACAGTACTTTAAATTTACATATATTTTTAACCGTTTACTACCTGTATAATAAGAAAAAACGGTTTCCCCTCTTACACAACCAATAACGGAATTCCAAATATGTATTTATATTTTATATACACAGTGGATGTTATATTCATAACTTTTATATTCATGCAACTTTTCACAATTACTCAAATAATTAGGTACTTTCTATACACAGTGCAATCCTCAATATATTTAGATAAATTTTAAGCTGCATATTTTATACTACGATTCTATGAACCTATTTACACTATTTTTCTGTTTATCGGTATTGACTTATAGGTTGTAAACTATTAACAATAATATTTAATAATAAAATAATATCATGTTATATTATTATTTTATATTATTTGTCATATGTTTGAAAATAATTAGTTCAACCTACCTTACTAGTTACTGCTAATACAAAAATAAATAACGAATTGTCATAGGTATATAAATAAATTATGATGTATAATATCCTTAGAAATAGGACAGACACCGTCATCGCTCACAATCGCTTTTCGTATGCTGTGATTTATCATTGAATTCAAATTCAACACATCCATTCCAGTGACCTACCCAATGACGATGCACACTTGAAATTTACTTTACAGTAGAGCGACTTCCTCGGTATTTATTATGTGCTATAAATATAATACAGATCGTAGTTTAGACAGACGATTCTTCGAGTTTTTTAACTATAATATCTTAGAAATTTGCATAAATGTATCAAGTTAAAGCCTTAACAGTAACATTTTTAAGCAATTATTATTTTATTAATCAGTGATTACTATATTATTACTTACTATATATATGTATACACAAACTGTTATTCAGTTTAACATTTTATTAAATACTAGGGGTTACAAACTTTAACAATGGCTCTTTCTCACTCTAATTGACAATTACTTTCCATACAATAGCGTATGATTTTGAAATACCTACTAATAGTAAATTCATAAGGAACACAAAAATTAATATTTCGATACTGGTTATCTAAGATTATTTTTTGTATTATCATTGGTTGCCATGACAGTATTTGCAAAATAAAATGGCAACACTTTTACTTTTTTTTTATCTAATTCATATAGGAGAGATAAGTATTTCAAATGTAACAAACAAAGTTGGTCGGGTACTCAATATAAATATTAAACAATCAAAAAATGAAATAGTTGTCGTTAAATTCAAAAAACAATGAAGAGACCAGTTAAACTAAGACACCTTAAAAAAAAAATATGTAAACACCAAAAGCTGCACTACTGAAATTAAATTACAAATATATTATTTCTTTTAAAATATATTTCAATCATTTATAATTCAAAATTGTCTATAGTTTGTAGTTACTTTGAATTCATAAACCACATTTGGAGACGAAAACAAGTCAAAACCCTGTTCGGAAACAAAATTATTCTGCGTCGCGACCTACTGTAAAGTTATAATAGGAAGTGTTTACAGTCGCTTGGTGTAGTCTGCGTGTAAGGTATTTTAACATTATCGATGCGGGGCCGTGAGCCAAGTTTCACGTAAAATATTCCAAGTACTGAGGGTCGAAAGATATATATATAGCCCCACACTGACGGTGGTTTGAAAAAAAAATGTATAATACATCTTGTGTTCGACAGACGGCTGAACGGTAAACACTAATCAGTACCTAATCATTTATCACTAACTAAGTGGATAACCCATAATAGTGAACCGATATTATACGAACATAATATATTATTCCTTACGGCCGTTTGTTCATTTGGAAAAACGAGTTGGAAGAAAAACCAAATAATATTTTTATTGATTTATGCGACTGATCGTACTGGTGTGTTAGGAAAACTCAAAACTTTTAAATAAGTGTCGCAATTAATTTACAACAAAATCAACAAAAAATAAAAAATCAGATACTATATGCCGGCACACTGAAGTGTGTAGGTAAGACTAGAACAGTTTGATAGATTTGCAACGCTATTTCTTCCCTAACACTCGTTAATAACATTATTAATATTTAATAATGCATACAATTTGACTGGAGCATGTCGATAAATAATTATTCTCTGAATTATATATTTTCTGATTGCTTGTATGTAATCAAATAAAATACGTATATACATTTTATCGTACAAAATAAAATTGTATAGGGACTTGTTGTTAAATTTGAATTGGTTAATAATTGGTTGATTTATTAAATCGCGTATCTACGGGTGGTTAAGAAAAGTAATTTAAAAATATGTATGTTCAAGTATTAATGAAGACAGTTTACGTTTAAACACCCATCAAACACAAATATAAAGCACATTTTTTTTTGTGATTTAAAAGTTGAAAGGTTACCTATACTTGTTCGTATATAGGTACACATAATATAATATGTATTATTATATTATACCTTACAGCCGTAGTGTTAATATTTTGATACAAAACGGCCTTGACTTTTAAATTAATTAAACCACGAATAAATTAAACCAAGGCATATTATTATGTTAGTATAGAAACACTGCACGGTTTTTGAATCGTTTGTTTTGTATACTTTGCGTTTACGTTATTTTCACCGTTAGTAAACAGCGTATTACTTCAAGGTTCTCGATAATTTTTCACACATTAATGACGGCATAAAAAACAGCTATGCGTGATAAAAACTTAACTACGATATTGTATAATAGATAAATGTTAAATTATTGTAGATGGTTGGACGCCATGCGTGATGTGATGACGTGCCGCCCAACCTAACCGTTTGATTGTGTCCAAGATAATAATATTATTAATAATAATAATACAAAAATGTTTCTTCCAGAATAACAGTTCTTAAAGTGTGTTAAGCTGATGTCTTGGAATTGTTCTACTCATAATAATTTGGATCGTCGAACACGATACGATTCAGACCGTCGGCGGCGTATAAACGTTAGTTTACGATTTGGCGTTCCGGTCACGTTCTACGGTCTTATGGAGCATCGGCACCGAGACATGTACATCTTCAGTGTTTGCATTCGTGCTTTACGCAAAATTGCTAACGAAAAAACTACGAGTCGGCGATGACAAGACGTAGTTAGTTGTAACGTCGCATGGCGTTTTTGTTTTGGCATCGGATTCATCGCTGTGGCGTCGTCCTGGTTGTCGTCGGTGCGTATGAAACGAAATTGCGGGGAACGCGTAATATTCATTATATCCTGCAGGATGCATCGCTCATGCTGTCCTGCACCACGACGGCACAATCTAAGCGGATCGAAATCATTTCCGAACAATGCTAATCTCACTTAAGATTCAATTTGCCATTTGCGGAAACCAGAATTACGGAACTTTATTGCATTCTGCACTGTTTCTGTGCCGATATCGGTAGGGCCTGGAAATAACAAGCGTATTGATACGAACTCGCCGTTTCATCTATTCGAATCGTACTCTAATGAGAATTTTGGCGTTAATTATAAGCAACAAAATTATTTTTAAACTCATTAATTACGAGTTTAATTTTAGTTACTTTAGAATTTTTATGCTTATTTTACCAGCAATACGTTTATAAAATATAAATAAATAATTGGTGTTTACCTAAATATTGCATTATAAGTTTATAGCAATATTGCTCTGACATAATTTAGAACTGCAGGCTTCTCAATTCTGGAGAAGCTTGCAAACTAAATACTGTGGCTGACCACCTAAATAAAATATGTCACCTGGTTAAAAATGAAGTAGGTACGTTGATTGATTTCCATTTCAAATTTAATCCGAGCCAAATTTCATGGTATAAACACCGATTATTCATCTTCCTGTAGCTCCGCATAATTTACTATAACATTCAACTGTGATTCACAAAAACGATTTCAAATTTTTTATTTAAGTTTATGTTTTTACTCGTTTTTAAAAGATTTAACTATTATAATTCAACACCCGTCTCACATACATCACGTCATGCAACGTTTTTTTCTGTAAGTTTATTATTTCACAATATTATGAAGAACTTGGTCGATGAGTCACAAATAATTTGTAACTTTGTTTTAGAATTAGATGTGGAAAACTATACCATATTGAAACACATAATTAAGATTGCCATTATTTTCAGGCATCACATTTTAAAGGGTCTCTCATACTATATTATATGGGTTTAATTTATAACTACTTATGAATTTAGATTCAGTTTGAGTTGGTGCACTAAGAATAAAATCTTTGATCACAAATTTGCATATTTAAGTCTCAGGTGTTTCACCATTTGAAATGTTATTGAATCAAACACAATGTATACATTTTAAGTCAACGGTTATTAAGAATGTTGGTTTTGGAGATATTTTGATATCAAAGTGCCACGTATTGAATTATTTAACGACGACACGAGTGTAACTTTGTAAACCGCAAAAGTTGGTATAATTTTGTAATCATTTTATAAGGAGATAGCTATTTAACTACAATATGGGAAAAATATCGAGCGAAATAATTTATTGTATCTAAAATAAGAGGACATATTATTATAATGACGAGAGCCATAAAACGCTTCAAACTTTCAGTTCACAGTTTTGAACCATACATTACCTCCAGTGCCAGTTAGGCGCGCAGTTCAAACATTTATGGCGACAGCAGGTCGAGTATATCATAACGACCACTTCCGGAAATCGTATCCGGTGTTATAAATCACGGTAGGCAGGTTTATGACGAGCACTGTATATGAAACGGGCAAGTCTATACCTCCCAGAGAACGGTTCGCGAAAATTAGAAAAACCAACGGTTTGGAGTGCAGTTGCGGTCGCATCACTCGGACATCGTGTGAAACACTTATCGTGACCATTGCGCGACCCCAATAGTAATATTATTATTATTATTATTATCAAATAATAAACGTTATACCGACTGACCTGGGTGAACTGTCGTAGTTTAGAAGCGTACGTCCGGCCCGCGTGAAGAGGACCACGTTCAAGGCGAGTGCCAGCAGCCAAAAAGTGCCGACGGCGATTGCCGATTGAGTGGTGGGCCCCAGAAGCCGGAGCACTGAAACCCTCGGATGGCCGGATGACGACATCAGGGTGTCTCGGTACCCGCTGAACAGACGGCTGGTGTGGATACTGGATGCTGTGAAAAGATGCCGTGGGTAATCAGTACGGTAATTATTATAATATTGTTAAGTAATATTTGCATTTTATGTGTAATATTATTATACACATCGTATTTTGTTTTCAACCCGAAGGACTCGAAAAAAAATTGGTTAATGGCGCAGAAGTGTTGACTTTGTTTTATTCAAAATGATTCGTTTAGGAAATATTATGCAATGCATGTTTTTAAAAATCAAAACTTAACCATCAACTTATCTTATAGAAATAGAAATATATATATTATGTACTATCAAATTATATTACATTATTGTTATTCTTTATTTAATTATTTCAACAGTAATTATATGAAAAAGTTTAAAAGGTATAATGAGGAGTACAGTCTAGCAAAATATTAAGCTTTGGGGTACGGAAAAAAAATGGTTGGGAACCGTTGCAATATACTATTGACCGAGCAGTAATTACTTGTGCACGTGTCTGAACACTTTTTTTTCTCAAAAATGGCTCCAAAGATTTCGTAAGAATTTCATATCTAGGATTATTTTCTGATTAAAGGCATTCAATAGTCAAAAACTCAGACACGGACAATTCGCTGTTTTAAATTATACTGAAGAATTTGGAAAATTTACAAAAATTTGAAATATTGATATTATTTGGATAAATATTCAAACGAACATAAAATACTCGGAGTATGTGTTTCTATAAAAAAAAAGTTAGTTATTAAAGTAATGTTAATTACGTGGTATTACCAAGACAATCGAACGTTTAAACAAGAAACAATAACTAATAAATAATGTAGCCGTTATATCGATGTTGTATATAATTATTATGTTAAAATAAATTATGATAAATATACACGAAACGGGCACTCTATTCTATACCAACGTCAATATGTGATTGGCAATACGGCAAATTTAGTGGAAAGTAGTCCGTAAGGTCAAACATTTGAATTTGAATATGCGGTGTAAACCTACGAACGTCAGTTTTTATGCACTGAATGTTGTATACTATTTTTTCGAGAATAAAAGGAAAAGCTGTTTAAAGTTTAAACGTGCTTTTACCACAAGAAAATCCTCGTTACAATATATTGTGGAGTGTGGAGAGAAACATCAAACAATACAGACTTGGTATACTAATAATTATTAGGTATAATTTACAAAATAATCATCAACAAATAGATTTCAATAATGAAACTATTTTCTTGGACATTCTAGGAGACTTGATTGATTTCAGCCAAACCTGAATTTATTTGAAATCCTGATTTCACTACTCATTGCAAATTTAATCCTTTTATAAGACATCCTTATTTTTGTTTTGTTATGAGAAAAATAAAGAAAAATATAAAAAGAATATACCTGACATTTTTGTGGTTCAAACAAATAAGTATTTTTTGAAAAACTGAACCCGAGCTAAGCTCGGTCACTCAATACTATATCATTGTTATAAAAGAAAGTATTATTATTATTATAATATTATATTAATATGCAGGTATTGCATTTAATATGCGTCTATTGTCGTTGTCAGGCCGGATAAGAATAAACATCGACGTCCTAGAGGGTTGTACGGGATGGATCACTTTAGGGACGATTCGATGATAGTATAAATATGTTTTTTTTTTTTGACCCGAACGTTTTAAATAAATAATAAAAAGGTTTAATTTTCAAAGTACATTGCGCACAGTCAAAAATAAACATTATTTCATATCGAAATATTTATTTGTATGAATACAAAATTATATTCTTAATACATTATAATATTATTATAGATCTACGTCTCGTATATTATGCAAAGACAAACATTTTATAGTTTTTGAAATATTTAATAATTACACTATTAATTTTACCTTTTTGAACATTGATATTTTTGTTTTCGATCGCTTTACTATAATTTACTTATCACACGTTTATGATATAATACACACTACATACTTCAAGTTTGAAATAAAATATGTGATAGCTGATATGCCTTATAAATATTAAATGGAACTTATTCATTTCGTATATTTGAAGGTATAGAACTACCTAATAAAATATAATATTGTAAATAATAATTTATAATATACTAATATTTTGTATAAATTCAAACACTTAATGCTGGGGTATTAAATATATAGTGTGTTTGCTATGTTTCAGTGTATAATATAACTTCTAGTTCTATTTACTATGACATACTTAAATATTTACTACCGGGTACACATAATATTATTATGTTCGATTCGAAATTAAACTGTCAACAGTTTGCCTTATCGCGTTATAAAAATAATTCAGTAAAACGATGAAATTGTTTTACCCCCTTTCACACTATTGAACGGAAAAAGGTGCTACCACGCATCGATATCGAGTATTATAGGGATATTATAAAGGGCAATTCCCGGGATCGCAACTTGATGAAACTTTCGGTTGGTCAACTTGACCCGGGAATGCTCGGGAGTGGCCGGTAATGTAGAAAAATATGCGATGATAAATTGCTATTTATAAATAAATTATGTTTATTTGTATGTATTAAAATATATTGATTAAATATCATAAATTGTTACATTATAAGTGAACAATAAATTAATTTGTAATCGATCAAAATATCCATCGATGCTTTAAATGACATTATAGAAGAATCGAAGTCGCACAGGTGTGTCACTTTTTTATATATGAATATAAATATTAGATTAAAACATGACAACAATTTGAAGATAATTGATAACTGGTAAATTAACATAATAATTTAACATCCACACGGAGTCTACACATCGGATATACAATGCCATGTCACACAAGGTATCCTATCAACTAAAACCGAAGACCCAATACTTTGTACAGCATTTCTTATCTATCGGCTTCGACTTTAAACTTTACTGACAACATAGTAATTAAGTATTTCGTAATTATTTCATCATGGATACCGTTTCGTTATTTTAATTAACAGAATTAATATTAAAATAGATATTTTTTTATATAAGATTATAAATTAAAAACACAAAATACTAACCCTAATCGAAGACCTGTTTATCATATTTTAATATACGCAAGATATACATAGATTATAACTTAGAAGAAATGATATATTATGATACGGAGCGTGCTCGATTGGGGACAACATAGACATATATAGGGAGTGAAGATTCATGGGGGAAAAATAACTTTAAATATTTCAAGTCTAGCCTCTAGGTATCAAACGATGCATGGGCACGGATCTTTATACTGTGGTATTCGAGAGGGTGGCCGACGGAAACTTAATGACATAATTGAAATAATTTGTTTTATGAATATTTCTATGGAAAAATAGCCGCTCAGAAAATGTTCTTAGTAAAAGAAGGTTTGACTGAAAAAAATATTACATTTTCTATAAGTTGCTTGCTTGAATTTCAACCTCATGCCATTCACCATAAATACAACTATTATATTATACCGCAATTATACACACTGGACATCCGATAAATATTCCTTAAATATTCTAACTGTTCTACGGATAATAATAAAACCAGACTGATATTCTTTAAGAGATTTCCTAAGCTTATTTAAAATGTAATATTCTTTTCAAATTTATTTGATAAATATTTTAAAAATAATCTTCCTTTCTTCTTAGAACAACACTTTAATATATGTTTATTATTCATCATAAATTAATAAGATTTGAAAATATTCTATGCACATTTTTACTGAGATACTATTATATGATACTCTTTGTGACATATTCTATTGATAGTATTACTTATGTCTTATTACGGTCTAAAATTGGGTTTCTTTCTTTCTATTGGTAAAATACTCTTTGCAATATGGGTAATTGGGTTTACAAATGATTTTTTTTAATTACATTATACATTGCCAACTTATTATAATTATTCTAAATGGTTTTTAAATGTTGGCTTGAAGTTTGGTGGCTGTGATAAATTCAATGATAGATTTGATTGAGGAATAAAATATTTTATTCTTATAATTGATGGTTATACACTATAGTTTGAGAATAATATAATCCTTTTCATGAATTATTCATATTGTTGTGACAACTGACAGTAAAACTTAGAAATAACTATTTGCTTACCATTTATTAATAAAATATATTATTTTTCAAATATTCTATGAATAATAATAATTATATTTATATTACTATACAAAATACTCTTTATAATATTTTCTATTCTCGTCTATTAATAGTATAATAATTCATAAATATCCGTATTACATTAAAATATTGATAGTATTTTTTCTTTTTCTTTAAACATGTTTAATATAATTAATTAGTATTTATATATAAGATATAGCATAACAATAACAATAAATATTATTATCATCAATCATTATATTTAATAAATTACATTTGACATTATTAAAACTTTTGAAAACCATCCATAAAATATTCATTAAAAATCATCTATCCTTTTTCGTACTTTATAATACTATTTATTCTAATAATTAATTAAAAAAAAAAAATTACAGGGAAATAAAATAATTTTTTCTACCATATTATTAAAGGAAATGTAATTCTTTGTTTATAAAATATTATAAAATATAAAGTAAAACCTTTAGGTCTATCTAATGGTCGGAATCGCACTGGATGTCATGTATATTCCACATACGTAATAACAGTGTTTTTCAGTTTATCGAATAAACTGTAAGATAACGATTAATTTAATACTTTTTTCTCCGTTGTATTAGGTTTTTAGTTTTACAACTCAGTAATTCCGATTTCTTTATTATTCACATTGCGATTTCGGATACCTCTTTGAAACGTGTCTTGTAATTTATTCCCACAATAAATGACCTTTTATACCAGCATACAATCGATACAAGCTGATTTTTTTTCGTTTACAGTTATCCCTTGCACATGTCCATAAATTTATTTCTGGACATGGATATTTCCACGACCAATGGGTGTACGAGGTATAAATGGGACGACAGAAACAATAACGATGAGCCGAGACGACCGTCGTCGGCCGAATGTGATAACTCGGCGTGGACGTCAGTTGAAAAATTACGCGATCCCTTAAGGATTACCGCAAGGATATATCAATTCCAACGTCGCCAGCAG